GAATTAGGTGTCTACCTCTAACAGAACGGTGAATTAGCCCACCCATGGGGGAAAAAAGACGAGTGCTGGTTACTTGCCAATATTTGTTGTGCTACGTACCACGCCAAAAGAAAGCACGGAAAAGTTCCAGATACGTATTTGACTCCTCGGCTAAGCGGGATGAATGTCTGCTGAACAACGTCCTTCTAACAGGCCTGCTTTGACGCACAACCTTGTCGGCGTGCTTTTGAAACTTTACGGATGCAGGAAGAGATTGCAGTGGAGGATGACATAGACAGATGTTCTTCGCACTTCGAAGTAGACTCAGAACACCGGAAATACTTACATGGAAAACAGCTTTTGACGAGTAGAATGGTTCCGGGACCGTCCGGAAAATCAGGTATTCTAGATATTGAAGAATGGGTTGGCGGACATGCGGGCTCAATTAGCCCGCACATGAAGGCTCCCGGAGGACAAAGCAGCGGTGATCCTCCAGCACTGGGGGGGGGGATGGTCCTGTCTGGTATGTGAGGAGGCGAGTGGTAAGTGGGGTAAGTGAAGATCCTGAGAAGTAGCCTAGCATCCTAGAGCAGATAAATAGATAGCAATAGAACACATTGAAAAAAAGATTACTTACCCATCCACTCAGTCACAAGTACAGCTGTACTAGCCGTGGCCATAGATTTCTGGCAGAACAATACAGAAATGTTGGTGGAATACTGCGGATAAGCTGTACAAGGTTTCTTACCATGAAAAACGATTTCTTTCAGATGCTGCAGCTTCGAAGTTTCCAATCAGTCAGTTGGTCACTCCAACAAAACACACCAAAGCGCAAGCAAAGAACTAATGCCGTCTGCCTGTCAAGAACAGTAGCAGATGAACGGATGACTGATGTGACCATTTCATTTCGCTCGTCGGACGGTTCGTCGCAGTCAGTGTTTGAAAGGATATTCAGTAAACTGCTTGTTCACTAATGATACAGTGTTCTGGGATGGACAACCATGGCCGAGACTTCCTGCAAAGGTTTGCAAGTACCTTTGTCTAAAGTTACCCCTGTCAGTGGAAACACTGTTGTAAATGAGGTCACTTAGTCACACGTTGCGGGATATTTGGTGATGGGTATGTTTCCACATCCCAGATGCACTGAGAATAACACAAAAGCATACAACTAACAATACAAGATGCAAAAAGTAACTGCCACGTACATGTGGAGGGCGCCCATGTCGATGTGCACTGTGGGGCCCATCAGTAAAAAAAGCTTTCGTAAGATTGGGCCGTATGGTCAGTGTTCTACTCAGTTAGATGAACATGTTGCAAGGTTCTGGGCAACAACACACGATAGTTGAAGAAAACAAGGATACTGGGCATTAGAAGTCTTGACGACCGCAGTGATGAGACCTAGAATTTCGTGATCTCGGCTAACCACGAAATTGATAAAAAATCTATTCGAGGACAAGACTCTACAAAACCGCACGCAATTAGCTGATCAGGTCCCATACAGCTAATGTGCATCAGCAGATATCTGCACAAAAGCATCAATGTATATCCTGGCGTGCAGGTCCAGCACTACGGCGAGTCACAATTCGAAGAAGAACTCAAGCTAGTCAAGAGGAAAGTTGTTTCCGGGAGACTGTGTTTGAACGAAGCAAGTTAGAAGGCCGTGAACAGTGAAATGCAGTGAAAGGCGCCGCGGAAATAATGTCGCTTGGGCCGCGCAATGACAGTAGCTGCCGTGGCACGATGCGAAGTACGGCATCCCTAATCGGCTGGGTAATGCCCGCACGACGAGTGAGGGACGTATGCGTGTTAACCGGCCCAAACCCCAGCCTCAGCAACCTGGGTAGGGCAGGTTTCCAGCTGGGCCGATCTGCGCCGTCGTGTACGCACGCGGGGCAGCGAAGCGGCGGGATGAATGTGTTTTTAATTGCCGGGACTGTGTGAGTCGAATGGCCCCAAAATACACGGAAACTTTATCCTAATTCCTCTACATGTTGCCAAAGTTTTGAAAGTTTGCAAGTATCCTTGTCTAGTTACCACCTTGTTCGGGATACACTGTGTAGTGAGGGTCCACTACTGCACAGTGGGGGCCTATTTGGTGATGGGTATGTTTCCCAACATCCCAGATGCCAGCTGGAAAATCCACACAAAGCAACAAAACAACAGGATGCAGAAATAACTGCAGCGTACTGTGGGCGTGTAGAATTGGCCTGTGGGGCCATCAGATAAAAAAAGGCTTATTTCGTACGATTGGCCGGTATGTAGTCAGTGGTTCTACTCAAGTAGATGAACATGTTGCAAAGGTTCTGGAACAACACACGACTGTTGAAGACAAGGGATCTGGGCATTTGAAGTCTTGACGACGCAGTGATGGAGGACCTAAATTTCGTGATCTCGGCTCAACACGAATTGATAAAACAAGTTATCGAGGAAGAACTCTACAAAACCGCACGCAATAGTGACTCAGGTCCCATACAGCTAATGTGCATCAGCAGATATCTGCACAAAGCATTAATCTGTATATCCTGGCGTGCAGGCTGCCAGCACGGACGGCAGTCAAATTCGAAGGAAGACTCAAGGCTGTCAAGAGGAAAGTTGTTTCCGGGAGACTGTGTTTGAACGAAGCAAGTAGAGCCGTGCAACAGTGAAATGCAAGTGAAAGGCGCCGCGGAAATAATTCGCTTGGGCCGCGCAATGACCAGTAGCTGCCGTGGACGATCGAAGTACGCATCCCCTAATCGCTGGGTAATCCCCACGACGAGTGAGGGACGTATCGGTTACCGGCCAACCCCAGCCTCACAACCTGGTAGGGCAGGTTTCCAGCTGCCGATCTCGCGCCGTCGTGTACCACAGCGGGCAGCGACGCGGGATGATGTGTTTTAATTGCGGGACTGTGTGAGTCGAAATGGCCACCCAAAATACACGGAAAACTTTATCCTAAATTCCTCTATCTACCCATCCATCCTCACACACAGTCAACCTCATTGCCTATTGTATTCATGTTATACCCAAAGTGCATATGATGATATTTCCAGGCTAATAATGCGAACCAAATTTTCGAACAATTCAATTCCGACATACGATTGTTTCACAAGCCTACAGAACTGCACGTGTTATTGTTGATTGAGTATTCATGGACGTAAACTCACGCGAATAGGTGCGCTCGGCACACGCGTAGAGACAAGAACGAGTTTCAATCGAAATTATATGAATGTTTAACCACGGTCACATATTCTCGTCTATATAACGTACTATGTGTTCAATATTATAAAGCAGTATATACGTTGTAATGTAAACGATCCATATAATTTAGTCTACATATTATATGCATGAAAAGAGCTGATAGTTTAGGACTTGTATCTCGTGTATAGATAGTTATAGTTGACATGCTGAGTGCAGATGGCACTACACCGATAATAACGTCTCATGATTAGCCGAGGAACTTTAGTTCCATGAGTCGTGCAGAAAGCGTTGAGAACTGCCAAAAAATTTTGGGGAAGGAGTTCAAGAACATAAATTAGGACCAACCTGTATGGAATGGCCAGCAGCCTTAACAAAATCAACATGAGGAAATACGAACTTATGCAGACGGTTCCCCCACACCAAATGAATAAGGAATTAATTCAAAAACGTCTTACGGACATATTTTTGGACAGGTTGAACAGTGTAGCTATGCAGAAGCTATTATTGTCACATTACGTATGCAAATTACAGGACGCGATCAAATTAGCTGTGAAAGCATCAGTTTTGGACCGAGGACTTTCTATACGCATGGGTCGTACTACTACAGACACCAATTTCAGACCAGATGCCTTCTCGCCATCATCATAAAAACACATGGAAAAAAGAGATTTTCCTTCCCACTCAGGTCGAAGTACAGTGTACTAGCTGGCACGTATTCTGGAGACACAATACAGAAATTTGGTGGCATATTGCCGATAAGTGTACAAGGTTTTCAACATGAGGAAACCATTTCTCTCGGATCTGCCGCCCGAAAATTTTCCAATCAGTCAGTTGGTCAACGCAACAAAACACCAAAGCGCAAGCGAAGAACTAAATGCACTGTGTCAAGAGCATACCAGATGCACTGATGACTGATGGCGCGCTATCCCCGCTTGTCCTGTCTCGCTCTCTTTTTCCCTCTTCCTCTCTCTTGCGCTTGCTCTCTCTCTCTCTCTCGCTCTCTCTTTCTCTCTCTTACGCTCTCTCTCTCTCCGTCTATGAGTTTGCGTGTGTGCGTGTGTGGGTGTACGTGTAGTGTGTGCGTGTGCGCGCGCGTTTGTGTATCCTTCTTTCTGTCAATCGCATTTTTTTTCTCTCGTTTGTTCTCTCTCTCTCTCTCGCGCCATCGTCTACGTACGAGAAATTTTGTAAATACCTACTAATTCCTACAATGATTTCATAAATAACAGAAATCGCGCAATCGCGTTTTATTCAAGTAGATGTAACTAGACCTTCCTGTAAATAAGATGAGCGTATCACGTATTTCGTACTACTTCACGAGTACCTACAATACGATACATGCTGCAGATATAATTCGCCGATACACCCGCAATTCTCACGAGTCCCACAGCGACTCGCGGGAAACGAAATCTGAACGGTTCAAGCATGTTGGTCGTATAAATGCGCGATGGCAGCCTAGCTGAGTGACATCAGTGCTCTGTTATTGCAGAGGACCTGTCTCCGCAAGTGAATCGCAAACTGTGCCAGTATCCGGATACGTCGAATGATGACGGCTGCTCGTTCCGGTTCACGTACGAATTCGACGACGTGTCCAATATCATCCTTAGGTTCGTGACCTGACGATGATGATCGCTGACAAATATAACCGTACAGTACCGGTGTCATTATTCACACTGGTATTACGTATATACCGTATACGGTATACTCGTTATATATTATGATTACCCTACATTGAAGCGTTGATTACCATCAGTCTAGGACGACCCTCTCTTGTATATGTAGAGCTCTTGGTATATTATGTATAGGATTATCTCATAACTATACGTGTACGGAGTTATCTTATACACTTTTGCAAGGAGGATGATTTGCAAGTGGCATTATCTTATATAGAGAGATGTTCAGAGTGCGGGATTATCTCTTCTATGTGGATATTTCTGATATTCGTTGGTGTACTGCCTGTGGGATTATCCGATATAGGTGGATAAATTTGGTAATAAACGCGTGAGATTATATCTCATGTAGGTGGAGACGTATTGTTTTGTTAATCAATACAGGGCGCAGACGACGCAGGTATGTCCGCAGCCGGTGAACCTGGCCGCCGTGACTGGTGGCGTCATAGGTGGAATCATACTCGCTGGCCTTCTGCTGCTGCTTATATGGAAGCTACTGACAACGGTACACGACAGACGAGAGTACGCCAAGTTTGAGAACGAGAGGCAGCTAGCCAAATTGAGAAGGGTGCGTACGGTCATACTCACTCGTTTCGTGTTGTTTACGTATGAAGCATAGAGCATGTCTCTGTTTTTTTATGTAACTGGAAGGAAGATTTGCCGATGGGTTTTGCGTCGCACTTTGGGCAAAGACAATTTGGTTGTGATTCTTGAGCATGTAATTTTAATTATGTTCAAAACGCTTTATTTATTGATTCTCGATTGATATATAATGTCCGATATGCCATTTATTTACCTTCGAGTCTAGTCTGACATCCACAAATAATTGATGTTTTTCCTAGTTATTAGCTAATGATATATTATGTTTATGTTATTTGTGAGTAGATGGCTTCACCTACCGGAAATTTTATGCGGCGTATAATCCCACATCTACGATTTATTATCATGAATGCTAAACAAAGATGCAATCTAATTTGTGAAATGTATCTGTTAAATACGGCAATTCCAATAACACATTCTTAGTCATCATAAATAGACGGTACTACGATAGTACTGCAGGAATTCTGTGAAATTGTCACAAAAAATTTCGACGCTACATAATTAAAATTTCGACCTCCAAACATTAAAGTAATACACAATCTTAGCAGCCAGAATTGCTCTTTAGATTTCGGAAGAGCCTTTGTATCTGGTTAGAGAATCTCAGTATTTGCAAAAACATTTCAGGAGGAGAATCCTCTCTATCACGCAGCTACGACGACGGTGCAAAACCCAGCGTTTGGGAGCTCGAACATCCAGTGAAATGTAAAAACAGTCTCGCCAACTTGGTTGAGAGATGCAATAGAATTTTGTCACACTAGTTTAATAGTCGAATGTTATTATCGGGTTTACTTCAACCGAAAATACAAAATAATGTTCGGTAAATGCATGTATATTGCCAGTTATGGGTAAACATACCACGATTTCCTTATATATGGCGACATACATAACTTCATAAATCTGTTATTAAACGAGTAAATAAATCATAATTATTATTGATATAATAGTGCTGTTATCACTATGATGCTAGTGTCCGTTTCTTGTACAAAATTAGGGCAGGCATTTCACAATAATGAAACACGCGGGCACACGCAAGCACGTACACCCGCACGACGCGCACATGCGCGCAGGTTTAGACGTTTATATGTTTAGTAAGTAACTTGTCTCATTCGATTTCGAATATTCCAATTTCCGATTAGAAAAATCTTTTATTTGTATTTTTTGTTATTTCTCGACAACCCGCATGTTAAATAGTTTATGGTCTGACATCCGCCTGTTCCAAACCGAAAGACGACACGTCATATCACTGGCAGCTTGCTACCACACGGTAATCATTTTTCAAAACAAACGAGGTGTAAGGTGAATCTAACGTCAAATGAAGACTAGGCTGACCGATGCTTACAAACTTGTTCACTGCTTCACTGTCTAGGTAATTACAGAGTCCACGTTTTCGTATCAGATACATTTGAATTTTTGAATAAAAAATTTATGTTATAGAACATACTAAATTTTTTAATTTATAATATATGTGTAGAAGTTTGAAAAGCTATGGCTTAATTCATATCTAGTGACGAGAATTTTAGATTGCTGCCGCGAGTGCAATTCGTTTAGGATAATACACGCTTAGGAAACTAGGTTTACTGTGGAAAACAATTGCAATTGAACGAGTGATGGAGAAGTTATTGCATTTTCAACATGTACCCCTTTGTTTATACGTTGTCAAACAGAAAAATATAACAATTTGCATTTTCGTGATAATTTTTTTTATTTCATATCAAGAACTTCAGTACCAAAATACTCACAATTATCTGCTTCCAAACAAAATTAAAACTGCGCATCTTGGACTTTTAGTGCAGAGTTACTGTATAGGTTCGGGTACACCCAATTCCTCAACTGTCACCCATTTATAAAAACAGTTTGGCACGTATAATTGCGAACGCCCTTAGGCAAGCACCGGTAACAAATATAACAGGTACTATCTAAGTAATAATAAACGTTTACTCTCTAAGAAATGTTTATGTGTACTATCTAAGAAATATGAATGTGCACTAATGAAGAAATGTGAACGTGTAGGGCCTACTTCTGAAAATGTGTGTACCATTTATACCAACTACGCGCGGTTAATTTACAAAATTATACGTCAATCGTGTACGAAATGTGCGCGTGTACTACGTACGAAGTGCGTGCATGCACTACGTACAGAGGGCGCGCGTGTACTGCGTACGAAGTGCGTGCATGCACTGCGTACAGAGGGCGCGCGTGTACTGCGTACGAAGTGCGTGCATGCACTGCGTACAGAGGGCGCGCGTGTACTACGTACGGAAGTGCGTGCATGCACTGCGTACAGACGTGCGCAGCGTGTACTACGTACAAAGGGCGCGCGTGTAGCTAGCGTACGGAGTGCGTGCATCGCACTGCGTACAGATGTGGCGCGGCGCGTGTACTACGTACAGGAGTGCGTCGCGTGTACTGCGTTACGAAGTGCGTGCATGCCACTGCGTACAGAGGGCGCGCGCAGTGTACTACGTTACAGAGTGCGCGCGTGTACTACGTAGCGGAGTGCGTGCATGCACTGGGCGCGTAGCAGAGCGCGCGTGTACTACCCATACGGAGTGCGTGCATGCACACTGCGTACAGGTAGACGAGCGGTGTACTACGATACGGGGGGGAGTGCGTGCATGCACTGCGTACAGAAGCGCGCGTGTTGACATCTACGTACGGAGTGCGTGCATGCACTGCGTACAGAAGGCGCGCGTGTACTACGTACGGAAGTGCGTGCATCGCACTGCGTACGAAGCGCGCGCGTGTACTACCGTACGGAGTGTCCGCGGCGTCTAGGTACGAAGTGTGTCGATGGCTCTCATAATAATCGCGGGCAGGGTCGCTTGCAAGTGTTTCCCTCGTGAGACCAAGCTCCATTCGAAGGTGATACTTGAGTGACCGGTAGTGACGGCGACGTTTAAACGTAGTCATGTAGACGTTATCACGTACTTTCTTGGCAACATGCAACTGCTAGCCTGTTCAGAAACAAAGAGAAACCGTAAATGAGTCTGAATGCGGCAGGCGCAATTTCGTGAGCTGGTGCACGGATGTTTGGCACGGTAGTATGGCAGGCGTACAACAGCCGCATTTCTTACATTTAGTGTAAAAACAATCATTTTTATAAACGTCTCGTGATTTTCTGTCTAGCATTATGTGTGATTCCATTCTCAAATTAACGTTAGCGAGAAAACACCCATTCGGTACGATGATTGTTTTGGGTTGGAATTATATCTTCATTTCTTAGGTCTGATGGTATTCGGCTAGCTTTAACATTCTTAATGTAAAAATTGAGCAAAAATGGAAATATATTACTGAGAAGCGAAAAAGTCCAAGATAGCCTATAACTATAAACTGAGCATTCTATAGGTAACCCTGAAAGACACTCTTAGCTATGTTACATGTAATGGGCCATTATTCTCTAGCCATGCAATCTCTCACAATGAATTGACTCAATAACAGGATACGAAATTTCAAAAAAGGCCTATTTGATATATACGTTAATGCTATGAAATAACGTTCGCGCCGTGTGTGTGTCGTGTGCACCTCGCGCGCGCGTGCGATGTGGTGTTGTGTTGTGTGTGTGTGTGTGTGGTGCGTGTGTTGTGTGTATGTGGCTGTGGCGTGTGCGTGCGCGCTGCGCGTGCGTCGCCGTGACGTGTGTGTGCGTGTGTATATATAGCGGTCTTATATATATGATAATATATAATATATATATATAACGTGCGCGTGCGTGTGTTTTGTTATATATTATATATTATGATTATATATATATATTAGATGTGTGTGTGTGTGTGTGTGTGTGTGTGTGTGTGTGTGTGTGTGTGTGTTAGTGTGTGTGTGTGTGTGTGTGTGGTGTGTGTGTGGTGTGTGTTGTGTGTGTGGGTGTGTGTGTGTGCGTTCGTGCGTGGGTTGTGTATGTGCATGCAAGCCTACATGTATGTACGTGCAAGTATAGCAAGTATCTATAATTCTTACCGATGAGAAAACCATGGACAGTTGTCCTGTTGGTATGCTCAGTATCCACTTGTTATTTTCATACAGATCTGTGTAAGCGGCCTTCGCGCTACTGTATGCTGAACAAACTGTTAATCAAACATAACAACGATATATAAATACACATATATATGTACATATAGAAGACTACATCTAATAATTTACTGATCTATTACTTCTTATATATATTAACAGAAAATAAATAACTTGATTGCAGTGAAACCACTACCAATTTTGCCGTTCTATACTTCCAAGCAAAACGATTGCAAGACAGCGAAAAATGGCAAAGAATGGTCGGACGCACATCATTTGCCACGCGTAGCCTACGAATATACGAAGATTCGTTTACCTAAACACAGGAAAAATTACCTGATTCAATATCAATCTGCGTGTATGGAGAAACACATGGGCATTCATTGGCGTAATATAGGCAAGATGTCTTTCTTTCTTCATTGTCGGCTACACTATCGCAGGTTGGACTTGGAAGGTTCTGTGCAGTTGCTTGTCTGCGACGACGACGTTTCCCAAAGAGTCCTGTCAACAGTGAACACAATATGAATGGCAAATAGATTATGCTGCCGTATATGTGCGTACGGCAGTGATGAGGATTGCAGTGAGCAGAGGCGTGAAAAATTTACACTATAGACACTTAGTTGAAATATTCAGGAGTTATTGAACTTTTTTCTATCATTCCATATACTTCCTATAGAAGGTGTAACCCAGCTTTAATTACATGCGCTTCGTTTAGTAGTTAGCAGTATAATGAATGCACGTCGTGTCTGCTAAAGGCTTCTCGGTTTTTGCTTGATTTGCTTGATCGTATGACGTTGTTAGTGGAATTTTTCATCATATCTTGTAAGCCGCTCTTGTGCATATTTGCTCCGCAGAAACGTGATAGTAGTTTGTAACATCAGCATGCAAGATTATACCTCCAAAGAAATCCCCGACGTTACTGGCCACATCTCCAAGCCCGCGTCCTATGTCTTCGCCGAAGTCAGCGATGCCACCGCCAATGTCTCCAAGCGTATCCCCAATATTAAAGTCAAGGACGTCGCCGAGGTTGTCTCCAATGTCACCGAAGGCGTCTCCAATGCCGCCAATAGCACCAGTGAACGAATCGCCAATGTCCGAAAATATATCTAGGTCGCCCAAATCTAACCGAAATAAACAGAATTCATTGATGTGGACAGAAATTGAAAAAAACGGATTATAGTGCCGTACGTATGTAACACCCGTGTACTAGGTTTAGTTATGCTGTCTTAGCACACGTTTGTCATTTTACGTCACCAAAACACCGTTGTTATGGTATTTAACTATAATAGGCGTACCATCGTTATTATTGGTGTGAAGCTCTTCCTTACCAGTACAGCGCTCAAAATGAGCTCTGTTAACAAAATACGCAATTACGCTGATAACGATTAAAACTATATTATTTGTTTCATATTTTCCCTCTGCAGAATAGATTATCAAACGATGACAATCACGCGCGCTTGTGTGCATGTGTATGTGTGTATACGTGGGTGCGCGTGTGCGTGCGCGCGTGTGAGAGTGAGCGTGTAAGCGCGTGTATGCGCTCGCGTGAGTGCTCCTGGGCGTGTGTTTGTACCTGAAAAGACATCCCCGAAAGTATCGCCTAAATCATCGACGACATCGCCAACACTGTCTCCAATGCCACCAAATACATCGCCAATGTTGTCTCCAATGTCACCAAAGACGTCGCCAATGTCACCAATAGCATCAGTGAAAGTATCGCCAATGCTGTCTCCAATATCACCAAATACATCGCCAATGTTGTCTCCAAGGTCACCCAGGGTGTCACCAACGCCACCAATAACGTCAGTGAAAGCATCGCCAATGTCTTCGAAGATATCCAAGTCGCCCAAATCTAAAATTATGAGCACAGCCCCTGTTAGGCAGTTATGACATCAGTTTGACCTTATCATCACGAAGCGTGCAAATTTGAACAACGTGCTTCTCCAACGTTTATTTTCTAGTGCTGGTTGTGCTACTGATAATTCACTATTTGTCGCCAAAATTATGATGCAGATCAAAATATGTTTTACAGTAAAACATCAATGTCCAGATAGATTCGGCTGACGCCATTTTTCACAGCAAGCTATGATTTGTTAAGGGTGCCATAGAACACGTAAATAAGACAGCAGAAGAAGACAGAATAGGATTCTTTATCTGATAGAGGCCATAGATAGAAGAGCATAGATAATCACTGGAAAGAAAAACCGAAGACTTTTGGAACCTATATTATCGGATTGAAAACGAACAATATTGACTGCCCATCAACAAAATCCAACCAGCCACATATCAAACTAGGTAAGACTAGAGTCCAAGACGCTGTGCAAGCTCTACTAGTTTAAACTAAAGCAATTAAACTTCAAAACATCATAAGATACTATTGTAACCTCAGATGGATACATTTAGGAATGAAGAAATAATCACAGTGCCCATGGTTA